CTTGCAAGACCCAGAGTTTCTTCCAGAAGGATTCTCATTTTGCCCATCTGACATCTTTAGCAACTAGACGGTACCCAAGATCAACTAGTGTTTTGATACCAATTGTTGTGCTTGGATGACACCAAACCAATTTGGAAACCAACTCAAGCTAGCCCACAAGAAATATATCGAATGAAATGCAAGAACAAAAGTAGAAAGGACATCAAGATTTAACGAGGTTCCTCAACAGTCAATGTAATTGAAGTAGTAGAAGCTCACCAAATAATCTATTATTAATCAAATGGGAGTGTTAACAAAATCTTTGACAATGTCACAACCCAAAACCCCAATACATCTAGTAGCTCTCACACCAAAGAAATAAATAGAGAAGGAAATATAGTGAATAAGTTTCAATCTATACAATGCTCAAAGTTATTACAATAACAACTACTTTGATGGATGATTACTAACCAAAGAGGGTAGCAGCTCTCTTCTCTTCTCCAATAATATGGTTGTCGGCTCCTCTTAATTTTCCTCTTTTTTTTTTTTTTTTTTTTTTTGGCTTCAAAGGGTAGCAGTTGATGCCAATTAAAACCCTAGCTACCTCATGTGGTAGCACATGGGCCAAATAAAAAAGGCCCCTTCAATGGGCTGTTCGGCTTACAACTAAAGGCCCACAATAATTTGGTCACATATTCAACACTTTGAGCCTTTGAGACTATCGAAAGGCCGAAAAGCAAAGAAATCTCAAAAGAAGACAAAAGGTGGGTAGTTTCTTAGATTTAGATATGCTCTTTCATTGAAAACATCCCAAAAATTACAAAATCTTTGAACTTTCATGCTCTATAGAAAAGAGGGTGCAAAAATGATACTAAAAACAAGGGTAAATTACATAAAATTACCTTAATTATTGGTCAAACCACAATCTCATACCTCATGTTTTAAATATTGCAATGTCATAGCACAACTTATGAATTTGTTGCAATGTTAGACCCCCATTAAATTTTCTGTCAATTTGACTGTTAAATGATGATGTGGCAATAGTATGACCCACTCATTTGCCAACTGGAATAAAAAATTAATTATTTATTAATAAACTAAGAATATTTTTGTTTGATAAAAATTAAAACTAAGGGTAAATTACAAAAAACTACATCAACTATAGGTTGAACCACAATTTCATACCATATGTTTTAAAAATTATAATATCATACCTTATCTTACGAATTTATTGCAATATCAGACCTCCGTCAGTTTGTCTGTTAATGACCCACTCCCTAACCTAATTAGATAAAGATATTAATTAAATATTAATAAATTAAAGATAAATGATATAAATATTTTTGTAAAAACATGTGGGACCTACCCCTTCTCTCTTTCCCGTCTCACATCCGGTCTCTCTCTCCTCTCACATCCGGTCTCTCTCTCAAATCCAGTCTCTCTCTCTCTCTCTCTCACATCCTCTCTCTCATCTCTCTCTCTCATACGATTTCTTGAGATTTTTTCTTCCTCCATTCTTCACCTTCATCCTCCAAATTTCACAACTCATTTCGTATTTTTCTCAGAAATTCAAATCGGCTGAGTTAAAAAAAAAAAAAAAAAATTCACAACTCTTCTCCTCTTTCCCCAAAAAAAATTTCACCTTCATCCTCCAAATTTCACCACTCTCCTTCTCTCTCCCCAGAAAAAAAAAAATTTGGACCGAAAAAACCCATATTTTTTTTTGCAGTTCAAGCCTGGGTATGGGTCGAATTTGAGGATTTGGAAAAGAGGAGGTAGAAAGCCGGAATGTGGAAGGGGAGGGGGGGGAAGGGCGAAGTAGAGGTAGAAGATGCCGCTGGTGAAGGCGACGAGGATGATGACGATAAGGGGATAAAGATTAAGATTGTTCTTGATTCTGAAAATGATGAGGAACCTGTCATCGTAAATGGGCAACCTAGAAGTTATCTTGACGTTGTTGAGCGAAATTGGGACACCGGAGAGCGGCGTGGTGACAAAGAGAGAGTGTCTGGAGAGTAAAGTTAGGATCTTGGTGCCAACAGGGAGGGATTTGAGGTTTTGAGGTTTTGGATTGGAAAAGATGGATGAAGCTAATGGGTTTATAGGAGGTGGGTCAGCGGCAAGGATTTGAGGAGGAGGAGCTCCATGGAAGGGAGGTGGAGATGGACGGAGAAGGACGCCATTGAAATGAATCAAGAGGAAGAGGAGAAAGAGAAAATATAGGGGTGGGTTCCATATGTTTTTTATAAAAATATTTAAATAATTTATCTTTAATTTATAATATTTAATTAATATTTTTACCTAGTTGGGCCAAAGAGTGGGTCCTGCTCTAAGCCACATCAGTCCTTAACAGTAAAATTAGCAAACAAATTGACAGATGTCTAACATTGCAACAAATTCATAAGATAGGATATGACATTTTAATTTTTAAAATATGAGGTATGAGATTGTTGTTCAACCTATAGTTGAGGGAAAATAAATTAATTTCAAAACATAATTGAAGTTGTCACTAAATGCATAATAAAATGAAGAAAACCAAGTTGAGAAAATGTTGAGCCTTTCTTTCTCTTCCGCACCTTTGTTCGTCGAACTTGTAGTCTCCTAAATAATGATAAGTTGTCCTCTTCTTTTCCTTGTTATGCTTCCATTTTCTTCTACCTAACCGAAAATGGCTTAAAATTCATTTATTGACAACATTAGAAGAGAAAAACATAAAAACTCTTCAATTATCTGCGCACCACCTTATACATTAAGCACACCTTGATTAATTTTTTCATTTGACAATGTTTTCTCTTGTACCTTTGGTCGACTTGAGGCTGATTACCGCAATGTTCCCTTCTTTAATTATCCGCTATTCTCATTCTGTGACAATACTTGGGTACTAAATAATTAGTACCCAAAATACTAACCACATGAAGTGGCCCAATGAAAACAAATATATATATTAACAAACGGTATTATCTACAATGGAGGGCTCGAGCTAGCCTTTTAATGGGCTAGCAATAATGTAATTCAAATTTGTCTTTGCGATAATTGAACCACCTTTCACTTCCAAGTGAAGAAGAATATCACTAGATCGTAGTACTAAACACATTTGATGTTCCAAATTTTTTAATAAGTTGTTTTGTTTTTTAAGCATCACAATCCTAAACCAGCCCTAAGTGGCCAAACTCTAATATCATTAGACTATTAATTACGACTAGCATATTCACACACACTTGGAGGAGAGAGGAAGAGAGTGAGAGTGAACGTGGAATTGGGAAGGAGGGAGAGATGTTTATTTATTTATTTATTTATTTTAATTTTTAGAAAATTAGAGATGTTAAAATCACATGTATGTGAGGTTTAAACAAAAATAACAAAATTTTGTTTTGTGAAAGATGATTAAATAGTCTTTTCACCTTCTTTTGATTGACAAAGAGGGTTCTATTTATTTGTAGTTTAGATGTGGTAATGTCAAAGAAGAAATAGCACTTCAAAGGGAGGAAGAGAAATAGATTTCACGTTGAATTATTTGTCTAGAAGAATGAAATCTGCTTTTATAGACATTTATCATACCCTTTTCACATGATGCTCTATATAATTTAATTAATATTTCTCTTAAAATCAATCAAAAGTTCATCTGTACTCAAAGAACTATTTGGAAAAGGGGTGTGCTATCTACACACCACATTTTACTTCTTACACACTCCTTGGCAATTTCTGTCCGTTGATCTTCTTTAATTCATCCGATCCGACGGCCGAAAATTAAAAAGGTGTGAGAAGCAAAGTATTAAATATCGGTAATATCAGAAATATCGGTAGTCCAAAAACACGGAAATATCGATGGAAATATCGGGATAATATCGATATCGATAAAAATTATATGGAAACCACGGAAATTGTAAGAAAAACTTGGAAATTTTTATTGAAACTTTGCAGGATGTTTATTTAGTCAATTATCTATTAGTTTATCACAAAAAATTGGAAAGAAATGCATTGCATGATGGATTTAACATTATCAAGTTGATTATATAGCGAGCTGACAAACATTGTGAGTGTAGAAAATATGTAGTAATTAATGAAAGAAATTTAAACACACCATAATCATTTATATATAATGAATTAGTACAATATTTTACACTTTATACATTGCATGGTAAGATACATGAGTGACTTAGTACATTATTTTCACCTCTTTTCACCTCTGCAACACTCTGCAACACACACACACACACACACGATGCAACACGCACACACGCACACGCAACACGCACAAACGCACACGCACACGCACACACGCATACCCAGAGCCTTTCTGGATCCTTCTCTCTCTCCCTTGGTCTTTCCGTCTCATTCTCTCCCTCAGTCTCTCCGTCTCCTTCACACGCACACGCAACAAGTAGAACACAGAGCCTTTCTGGATCCTTCTCTGCCTCGGTCTCTCTGTCTCCGTCTCTCCCTCGGTCTCTCCATCTTCTTCTCTCCCTCGGTCCGGTCTCTCTGTAGTCCATCCATTATGCTGGGTCACCTCACCTCAGTCTCTCTCGAATCTCGAATCTCAATCTCGATCTGGATCTTTCCCTCAGTCTCTCCATCCTTCTTCTTCTCCCTCAGTCTCTCGAACTCGATCCTTCTCCGGTTCTCCCCCCCATCTCTTCTCTGCAACTCCGCCGAGCACTATCACCACCTCCCCCCCATCTCTTCTCTGTAACTCCGCTAAGTTGCTTGGGGCCTTTTTACGGTCTCTCTACACCCTGGGGGATTTGATTTTGCTGTTGTTCAGCTCGTACCCACCACCTGTGGTTTCCTCCTCCCTTTCTCACCTCCCGGCGGTGACGACGACGACGAATATTCGCGATAATATCGCTAATATCGTGATATTAGCGATATTATCGCGATATTTTAAAGATATTTTAATTTTACTCAAAAAAATATCGGCCGGTCAAAAAAACGATATTATCGGCAAAATATCGCCAATAATATCGATTTTTAAGACATTGGTGAGAAGTAAAATGGGATGTGTGGATATCACACCCCTTTGGAAAATTGCGATGGACTCGTAAATCGTGCGTACATTGATGATCTCGAAATAATATAACATTCATTTTGCTTTTGATATGCAGTTGTCTCCAAAAGAAAGCATAAACAAAATGAAAAGAGTTGCAAACTTTTCTATCAAGAGCTCTGGTATGTACTTTTTTTCGTTGTATAATATCGTTTGAAAATTATTATTTGCATTCTAAAAATTTAATTGTTCAAAAATTTAATTTCATTTGGAAAACGTTATTTTGATTTAAGAATTGTTATTTGCACTTCAAATTCTTGCTATAATCACCATGTCCACCAATACTGCCTCTATCTTATACATTGCAAAAACATTACTACCAAACACAAAATCATTAATTTTCATTATATATGTCTCTAAACTGCATATTAATATAACTTTGTTGGTCAACCAAAACTAATAAAATTACTATTATACCCTTTTATACCTAATTGAGATTAGATTAAAAAAAAGATATAGGCATTAAAGTAAGGGAGTTTTAACGAAAAGCCCACGGTACTGTTCACTTTAACGAAAAACCACATTTTTACACTTAAAAGTCAAACCTGGTACTATTCACTTTACCCTTTATTTTGTCCTTATCATTAAAACTCAAAGTTTTCAAGCCATTTTCATTAGTTTTCCTTTAAAGTAATTCACACTAACAAGTTTTTTTTTCGCTCACCACAAGTCACCATAGTTTTACTCCTACACTTTTTCTCTCCCACTCCTTACTTTTCCCTTGTTTAATTCCAATTCTTTTTTAAATTGTACTTTGATCACATATATAATGTATTTTTAATTTAAAAACAAGACCTACATAATTCATCTAGAAAGCAAGATATTTACCTCAAATAAACCAGTATTGCTTCATAATTTTGTAATTTATCCATCACCAAGGTATTACAAAAGACAATCTCACAATCAACACATTTAATAAAATGTGTAGAGTTTTCCTACTGAAATAAAACTATAAGTTCACTTAATTTATAATTTCACAAACTAGCTAGTCTAGTGTTTTATCTATTGGGTTGAAGTCATCAACATACTCAACTCACTCTATTCTCGATGCATCAATTTCCTGTTAAGTGTATGTAGCTTTTTCTTTGAACTGCAACAAATCACAATCAAAGAGAACGTGTGATGACAAAAAACAAATTTCAATCACACATAATTCAATATTAATTTTCAAAGTTTATATTTGTCAATGATGACTTTCTTGCAGAAGGTATCCCTTATCAGCATCCCCAATTGCAGGTAGTGCATGTCCAAGTTCTTGAACTCACTGAAATATAACCCCTACCATTTTATACACATATATTAATTGAAAATAATTAGCGATTAAGACAATATTCTGAACACGTAGTTTTCAACAATGTTAGGAACATACACCATGTTGTATAAATGATCAACAATGACCAATAAAAATGTCAAAGTCGAAAAAAACTTATAGTTGAATGATATATAGAGTTAAATACAATCAAATAGGCTACTCATTAGGCCAGAAAGAATTTGGAACAAAGAAGGATGCTCAGTCAAAAGTACAGTTATTTAAGAAGAATCCTTAATCCACAATTAAATGGAACAAAGAAGCTATGACAGAAATTACTTACTGCGGTCATAGTTATTTGCTTGGTACCCAAATTGTCTTCAAGGTCCTTTCAAAACGATCAACGTAACATGTTCTCTGTCCACTGTCCGGTCCCGTCATTAACTCTTTTATAAATTAATTTCTACTAAATAGTTGTTAACTCTCTCTCCCCCACTCTCTCTCTCTCCCTGTCTCCACTTCACACCATATTGCCCCAACCCGCTCCCTTTTTTTACCACCATTTCTTTCTCTACTAGTCTTTATGTGAGGATCATTAACTAATTTTTAGCTACTCAGGACATCTAAATCGATAAGAACACATCGGGGATTGCATTGGGTGGAAAATTAATTAGTAAATAGGAGTTAACCGGGCTGAGCCGGTAAACTAAGACCATTTTTACCTGTTTCTCGCCGAGGCAGTTCATAATCATGTCAAGAAAAAAGAATCTATTAGTGTCCCTCTGTGCAGCCAAATTGCAACCCTGTTTCAAAAAATCTTTTAAATATATTTGACAAATGTGTAAACGAAATGAAATCAAAATTGAAATTCACAATCTAACTTAAATTAACATAGCACACAAATAGCACATTAAGATAAACAAAGTTGAAATTTACAATGTGACAAATTTTAAAAGAAGCACAAATCAAATCAAATAAAAAAATTTCAAAGAAATATAAAAAATATATGAAAGAAATAAAACAACCAACAGAAGTGGAGATGCCAATAAATGCAAAATTCCAAGCACTGCAGCAAAACCTATCTAATAATAATCTAATAATCCAACCACAAAAATCCATATACGTTGATATATATATATATATATGTGTGTGTGTGTGTGTGTGTGTGTACATACACAAATAAATATGTACAAAGATTAGGGTTTCCAAAAGTTAAAGCGCATACCTTTAAAAGGCGAAAACTGCTGGAATATAAACGCAAAGTAAAAAAAATAAAAAATAAAGAATTGAAGGTTGTTGGTTTGACGATAATGGGATGGAATAATTTCACAATATGCTGATTAGTTTTTTATCATTTCACAAAGAGTGTGTCGAATTGATGAATAGGATTGGAAGGAAGACAAGATACTGGGTGAAAATGAGATTTGAAAGAAGTAGAAGAGCATTGAACTTTTAGGGTTTGAGGAGTGAAAAAGAGATTTGAAAGAACAACCAAACCGGGTAGCTGGGGGAGATCATTGAGAAAGTGGGGAATTCACACTGGGTGAAAACGATAAACACCACGTTTTCACTCACGTCTCCTTTTCTTTTTTTCTTTTTTTTAAATTGCGTCATATTATTATCTTAATAACATTTTAAATAAAAGAATGTCATTAAAATTTTTATCAAGTTTCATGAAAACCCTATTTTGTATTAGTGGAAGCAATCATGATTAGGCTACCTCATAGCTCTAGGGAAAAAAAATTAATTTCTAAACACAATTGAAATTGCAACTAAATGCATAATAAAATGAAGAAAACCAAGTTGAGAAAAGTTTGATCCTTTCTTGCTCTTACGCACCACTGATTGTCGAACTTATCGTCTCCTGAACAATGATTAGTTGTCATCTTCTTTTCCTTCTTATGTTTCCATTTTCTTCTCCCTAACCGACAATGGCTTAAAATTCATTTATTGACAACATTAGAAGAGAAAAACATAAAATCTCTTCATTATCTGCGCGCCACTTTATACATTAAACACACCTTGATTAATTTTTTTATTTGACAATGTCGAAATGTTCCGTTCTTTAATTATCTGCTGTTCTCATTCCAGGACAATACTTGGGTATTGAATAGTCAGTACCCAAAATACTGGTTCAATACTTAGGTACTAAATAGTCAGTACCCAAAATACTAACCACATAAAGTGGCCCAATGAGAACAAAACATCTGTTACAACTTTAATTTACAAATGTGTAACCAAACATAAATATTAACCTCACATCCAAACATCCCCTTTCTTCCTCAACGCCTCCCTCTTCCAACCTCACTCCTCCTTGCTTTCTGCCATGGTTTCAGCGCCATAAACCTTGTCCTCCCCAACGCTTCCGGTAACCTCGTCTCCTCCGTCGGTGCCACCCACTTCTCCTCCAACCTTTCTCTGTCGACCCTGCCCCAAAATCCTCCTATTCTTTATCGTGGAAGCCATGGCAGCACTCCATTGTCGTCGTCGAACTTCTTCGTCATGGAATTCACGGCAGTATAGAAGCCCAAATTTCCCCAAATAATTTCAACCTCCTTCGTGATTTTTCTTCTGGATGAAATTTCCTTCATAAGGTTAGTAAGATGGATATGATCTGTCATGGGTGGTGAAATTTAGGGGATGGAGCTGCCATGGCTTCGGGAGAAAGGGGAGGGAGATGGTTGGTGGAGGTATGGTAGCTGTCAATTGTGTTCTTAGTGAGAGAGAAGATGAATGTTTTTTTTTTTTTGACTCAATTGTGTTCATATAGCCGATCCCACTCAGTGACTTGGATTTTCCAAGTCTCCAACCAAGAAGTTTTCCTCACTCGGGAAATTAAGGGAACACTACCCCAACCTACATGCTCCACTCAGAAAGCTTCAACATACAAGCTTCAACAAAAGAAAATTCAAAGAACTTAGCGAAGAAGGCTTTGGTGTATTTAACACAATACGTTGAAATGAAGGAAAGCTTATTTATTGATATCCCCGATAAGCTACAAATATGTACATATACATGAGTCAAAATAAACACACAAGAGGGAGCCTTCACAAAGATTGCTTAGGAGAAGTCTCAGCAGTCGGTAGAGCCCCAGAAAGAGAAGGCACCGGAGGGGGATCATTTGGAGCCTCAGTACTGGGACAGAACCCTAGAAGGAGGAGGCATCAGAGGTTGATCATTTGGAGCTTCATTACGCGGGTACAGCCCCAGAAGACGAAGGCAATAAATGCCTTTGGAACAAACCCACAAATCTCTGATGATCAAGTAAAACCTGACCATCAGTTTCCTTCATCTGGTCAAGTTTCCTCTTCATGTTTGTAGCATAGTCATGTGCGAGCCGGTGCAACTGTTTATTCTCATGCTTGAGCCCTCTAATCTCCTGTTTGAGACTCATCACACTTCAGCCGCCAATGATTCAACTTGGCGGGTTCGAGCAAATAGGCGTTGTGCCATATTAGACACAGAACCTGCACACTGAACACTGAGAGCCAGCGAATCCTTAACAGCTAACTCATCAGACCGTTTGGAAAGTAGTCTGTTATCTTTGGGAGTGAGAAGATTCCTGGCCACCACCGCAGCGGTCATATCATTCTTCATCACGGAATCCCCAACGGTAAGAGGACCAGTTGGGGAGACGAAGGATGGGCGCCATATGTTGTCTGGAGAAGGCGGGGGCTGCCTCTTCAACAAGGTTCAAGTCAAAACGACGGTCGGAGGGGCCAGACATTTTCAAAGGTGTTGAAGAGAGAAGAGGTCGGACAAATCAAGATCTTAGAAGTGCAAGAATGAAGCTTCTACTGGTGGAGATTCAAGTGTGCTTTGGAACTTAATGCCAGCCCCTATAAAAATCTGCACTCGACGGAGCTTCAGAAA